CATCCTTCCAAGTAGCCAGAACTACAGGCACGCACTACCACACCTGGCTAAGTTTTTGATTTATTGTAGAGACAAAGTCTCACCGTGTTGCCCAGGCTGGTCTCAAACCCACAGGCTCAGGCAATCCTCTTGCCTTGGCCCCCTAAAGTGCTGGGATTACAGGTTTGAGCCACTGTGCCTGGCCTATAATTCATACATTTTCAGTGAAAGACTTAAAATTCAACAAATCCCTCCATATATCCATGTTCTAGATAACTAAATGGAAATGCTTGCTCTAAATTTCTAAGATAAAGAATTTAATGGTGTGGCTTTCTAGCTAGATTACTTACATACTCTATTAATTACTATTATATTTTTTAAAAATGTGATCTCTAGTTTGGGCTAAAAATAAATACTTGTACTGTTCTTTGGGAAGTATAATCTCACAGTTTGAATTAGACATCCTATCATTTAGTCTAAGACTTCTGGTAGAGAAGTGGATAAATAGAATTGCCTATTTGAAGATGGAAGAGAGAAGTCACCTAAAACTTCAGGTACAAGCTTTTCGTTATTTTTGCTTTGTCTACAAGCTTAAGGATGAAAAATTTGGAATGAAATTGCTTCCGAGGGAATGATCTTATAATTGCACTGTGAAGGCCAAGAGGGGCCCTGAAAGGAATTTTTCTCCCTGGTAGCTGAATTTGACGTTCCAGATAGAAATAAATTGTGAAGGTGCTGTTCTCTGATGGAGACATATAGATGAAGGTCAGCATATCTAGGTAGAGACTTTTTATGCTTGAGACCGGAGCAGTGCATGTTCCTTCTATTGGAGAAGGCTTTGCTCTACTAGGGATAGTAGGTGGATATCTGAGACCACAGAGAGCTCAACTCTCTCTTGCCCACTCCCCGGACTGCTCTAACCCTCCCCTCTTGGTTTAATTTGCACAGTGTCTTCAGGTTCTCATCCTGGTGAAACTTGGAGCTTTGCAAATTCAATCTCTCTCTCTCTCTCTCTCTCTCTCTCTCAACCTTTCAGTCAGCTTCATTTAACAAGTATACATGGAATGCCTTCGTGTGTGCTGAGCACTGTGCCACATTCTGGTTTCAGTGATGAACAGAATAGACAAAACCCCAAAACTTACTTGGCATATAATTGTTTAAACCTATGCCTTGCTTGATACACTTGTTTACACTATGAATTTGTGCTACAGTATTTCTAAAAATTTGCGTACGTGGAATCAAGCATTTAAAATTCACCAGAGGAATTTATCCTTAAAAGAGTTCCTGGTAAAATACTTAATTTTTAAATGAATGATCTCACCTAAATAATTTCATGTATGTCTGTGTTTTCATATGTTTCGTTTCCCAAAGATATTCAGTTATTACTATATTATGCGTGAACAAAGCTTCCACGGAGAAACGCACATCCCAGTTGGGTCTAATTATCACCCACTTGGAATGTGTGAAGTTGACATTAATCATGTTTCTCCACAAGGCACAGCCAGCCCTCTTTCACCGAAAATGTTTTTACCAGCCATGCAATGATGAGAGACAACCACGAGTGGGCGATGAGAGCCCATTCCTTTGGCTCAAGCTTTGCTCTTCGTATTTGCTCTCTAATCTCGAGTTTGGCGATATTTAGGTGTAAATGGCAGAAGGGCAATTAATCAGATTTTTTCCTTGTTCAGTACACATCTGGGTTTCAGGGCCTTGACTGGTCCTACCCTTCAAATTCCCCCTCCTCGACTGGTCCTACATTTGCAATAAGGATAAAATAAGGAAATTATGCTCAAGTCATATGACGCTTCTTACATTTTTTTGTAACGGAAAGAATATTGAACTTAAGGTTGGAAGATTGGAAATCAGGTCTCAGCTACACCTTGCTACTTCTGTTATATACCGTCGAAGCGCGAAGAGATGGCACGGCAGAGTTTTCTGAGAGAAATTTAACTGAGATGGACTTTGTCTGCATGGCCTGACTCTTACAACTAAAGAGCACCTGTGAGTAGATGGTGGCAGTCCTGGAAGACCAATTTATTAAGTGATGCGACGTGAGAAGTCAAATCCTAATCACAAAGAGGGGTTAGGGAGGAAAGTCACAGCCAAGGCATGTGGATGGCTTTAGCAAAAGCCTGGGGTAACATAACTTGAGAGACTGCCCACTCTACAGAGCCTGCCAATGGCACTGCATCCTCAGAGTCTTTGGGCTACAAGACCATCCCCTGTGGATCGGTCATGTAAACAAACATAACTAGAGGTTGTCTTTTGTCATTGCATGGCTGGTAAAAACATTGTCTGTGCAAACGGGGCTTTGCCTTGTGGAAAAACGTGATTAATCTCCACTTCACATATTCCAAATGAGTGACAATTAGACCCAACTGGAATGTGCATTTCTCTGTGAAAGCTTTCTTCATATATAATATAATAAAAACTGAATAACTTTAGGAAACCAAACCCATGAAAACCCAGGACATATGTAAAATTATTTAGGTGAGATTATTCTTTAAAAGTAAAAGATTCCCATCACTTCTGTCTACCTTTTGATTCCCAGTTCTCTTTGTTTTCATGGCTGCCTGACTTCCTTTTGAATGGACATATCCTCTCTTTACTTAAGGTTAATTCATTCAAACGGGTATCACCTGTGCTGACCTCTCTCACGTGGCCTTTTGAGCTTCTATGCTGAGGTGGATTAGACACAGATCTTAGAATTGCTCCAATTAGATGGTGAGAATCATCTAATTATTTAGCTTTTACCTCTATCAAAGGCAACTCACGTTTCCAACTGATCGATCTTGCCTAGGAAGAGTACTAACATTAACCAATGTCCATCAGTACTGAGCGCTTTGCATAAATTATCTCACTTTGACCTCACAGTATCCTAAGGGGACAGTTACTATTCTCCCTTTGTAGATGAAGAACCTGATAGTCATGTCAGTTAAGGGACAGAGTCACGTGAGTGAAGAGACAGTCCAGTTAAGGGCAGATGGAATGTGAGCCCAAGAGGTTCCACTCCAAGAAGCAATCTTAGCAACTTGGCAACTGTTTTTACCCTTTAGTGCCCGAGTTCCAAACCCTGGCATTACAAACACCTGTGTGTGACTCTTAGGCGATCTGGTATTGCTGAACCGGGGTTCAATTTTCATGGATAGGAGATGAAATGCTAATGGAATCACAGAGGACAGATTTCATAACCGCTCTTGCAATGTGCTGGTGCTGCCTGGGTCTGGTAGTTCACCTTGTACTTAGCACAAAATTTATTTTTCATGTTCAAGGAAATATCTGAAAGCATCCAGGGAACAGACCCTGGTGATGAAATGCCCCTCCCCCCAAACACAATGACTCATTCAAAAGGTGACCATATTCCTATGAAACAGTTTCCACCATTTACTCATATGACTACGGGGCAGACACTTAAGAACACAAAAGCAAGAGTTCTGAAGCATCATATTATAATCATAGTCACCGGATTTCTCGAGCACTTCTTTTGTACCAGACATTACTTGAAGCTCTGTATGTATAATGACTTTTAATCATCACATTTTACATATGAGAAAGTAGGCCAAGAAAGATGAAGTAACTTGGTCCCATCACTAGAAAGTTGTGAAGCCAGGATTTGAAGCTGGGCAACCTGGCCTGTGTCCTTCATCACTGTGCTTCCTTGCACTTGGCACTCTGCCATCTATCACAGAGCCATTTCTGCTTGACCACCTGATTTCCTTGGGGTCTCCAGGGAAATGCAATTGTCTCCTCAAGGACAGTCCTTCCTAGAAGACATGAAGACTTGCACTGACAGCCAGCATTAGGAAGGGCTTTAGGAAAGCTCAGTACCTATAATTTGTGATCCACAGCTTAGCATAGTTAGAATGCTGAGCAGGAAGCTTTTGTTCACACCTTTAGAGCTCATGGCTGATGAGGAGGTGGTGGGCCAAGTGAATGGACAGAGGGATGAGACAAGACAAATGTTCCAAAGAGTGAAAACTGCTGATGCAAATGCAGCTGGAGGAGAACTTCCCTGCCTGATAAGAAGGTGCAGATAATGAACGAAGAGATGTCCGTGGTGATGACAACAGCTTACACTCACTCTGGGCTAAACAGGGAGCCACAACAGTCAGCCTAGCTGACAACGTGTCAGTAATGGGATGCATGAGCCCCCCATGAATATTCGGAAACTGGTCATCAGGATGGGCTCCCAGAAATGGCCGGTGGCGGGATGAGATGGGTCCATGGACAGTACCCCTTCTTAGCCGTGTGAACTTGGGCAACTGAACCTCTCATGCCCATGCCATGGCTCCATGCTTGTCGTGTGCAATTGACAACCGCTCCCACAAAATCAAGGTTGTTATGATAATTAAAAGAGCTGATATAGGCAAGATGCATCTGCATAATGTACAACACAGCTCGACGCATGTGGGTTCCTCCTGTTGTCATTACTATGGCCGCGGTGCCACTGATGATTTTCAACCGCGGGAAGGCATCGTCTTCTTTCTGCTAGTCACTGTGGGATACCAAATGCCTTGCATCTGTCCCTGAGGGCAGTCAGAAGCCAGTTCCAGTCCTGGACCCTGGGGCAACTGTACCCGGCGCCCTGGCGAGCGAGAGCAGACGCAGCGGAAGAAGCAGCGAAAGGGGAGAAGTGCAGGGCGAAAACGGAGCGAAACGGAGACCCGGAGACGGGGGCGAGAGGGGCAGCAGGAAGGGAAATAGCTCCCGGCGGCGACGCAGAACACGCGCCCAACGCGAGCCCTCTCTGCGCTCCTTGGGCCTGGGCTCAAATTCAGGGCTGCTGAACTGTCCTCCCCAAGGCAGGTCTGGGTGTCAAAAACGCAGGAGCAGAGGGTTGCACTCTCCAGCGCCGACCGCCGCCCGCCGCTCCGCTCCCTTCCGAGCTCGCTCCCGACCCGACCCGCGATTGGCCCGCTCTGGGCTGCAGCCGATTGGCCCCCAGCAGCCGGGCTCCGGAGTTTAAAGAGGGGGCGGGGGCGCGCTGCCCAGCAGCTTCGCCGTCCCCGCCGTGCGCCCGTGGCCGACCCAGCCTCGAGCCGCCGCGCCGTCGCAGCCGAGCGCACGGCCTCCGGCGGCCCGCTGCGCCCGGAGTGTCCCGCCTCGGGCCGTCACCCACCCGCGGCTCGCGAACGCGGGAGAGGAGCTGGGCAGGCGCTGTCCAGCCCGTGGCCGGGCACAGCCGTGAGGGGTGAGGCGCGGAGACGTCCTGGCGGCCACCATGGTGGCCACGTGCCTGCAGGTGGTGGGCTTCGTCACGAGCTTCGTGGGCTGGATCGGCATCATCGTGACCACGTCCACCAACGACTGGGTGGTGACCTGCGGCTACACCATCCCCACGTGCCGCAAGCTGGACGAGCTGGGCTCCAAGGGGCTGTGGGCCGACTGCGTCATGGCCACGGGGCTCTACCACTGCAAACCGCTGGTGGACATCCTCATCCTGCCGGGTAAGTCCCCAAACCCTGCAAGCGGCTGCTCCTCCCTGGTCCTCTGGGCAGACCGGAGCGGAGGGGACTAGACGGAGTTCACAGAGACTTGTGGGAGCGCAGAGACCTTTGGGCACGCTTTTGACACCTCTAGCCCCCCGTTGTGCTAGAAGAACCAGGCGACCCTGGGCTTGTAGCCCAGAGCTTGTAGAAGAATTAGGCAGCCCTGAGCTCTCTGGGCCTCAGGTTGGTTTGTTTGTTGTTTGCTTTGGGCTTGTTGATCTAGAATTTGGAATAACAGTGGTAATTTGGCCAGCAGTAGCACTGACCAGTAGCGCTGAGAATGTAGTGAACTGAGACACGAAGTAGGAGCTCAGTTCGTGTTAATTACTGCGGCCGCCGCTCCCCCCGCCCTCCCGCCGTCTCCTGGGCTGCCCAGTCCTGGCCTTTCCCTGGGCGCCTTGCTTTCCCGTTAGATTCCGTGAGAAGTAAAGAGCAAAAGGCACACTTCCAGACGATGTGAACAGATGCAGGCTGTGCCCCGTCCTCTTGAGATGGGCGAGGCGCCCTGACCAGATTAAAGTCCTTCTAGCTCTGCCCGCCCCACCGGGAGCGCTTCCCGTCCCAGGACGTCTCGGGGCTGCCCAGTTTAGCAAACCCCAGGTCGGTTTATATCCCGGGGCCTGTCTTATCTCCCAGCCCCCCACGTCTAACCCCCGCCTCCGTGGTCCAACTCTCCAACGTGGTTCCTCTCTCCAGCTCCCTGAATTGGGAGGAGCACGCGCCCCTCGGAGGGCAGACTTCCTGCCCCCAGATACCGACAGCGGCGCCGGGGGTCGCGCACCCTCAGCCCCAGCTATGTCAGAGACTGGGGAGGGGAGGTAATAATTGACAAAGACAAGCTTTCGGTCCTCTTGGCGCTGGCCAGGGGCCACATCTTCACTTACTGCCCTGGGAAAACATTCTAGGCGACAGTTTCCATTCAGATTCAAACCACAAGCCAGTGGGGCAAATGGCGAGGTGTTGGCAGCCCCTCGGTTTTCAGCCTGCAATTTCCCTCCTGCCGGGAAGGCTTATCCCACTCTGGCCCCAACAAGGTGGCCTTCTGTGCCCTTAGCGTTTGTGGATTGTGCACATTTAAAAACTGTCCTGGATTCCTTAAGATGGGGAGAAACCGCCCCTAAAGGTGCCAATGGAGACTCCGCTCCCCCTTAAACTTTCCCCAAGTGCCTCCTATTTCCCAATCCCAGCTGTTGGAATCAACTTCTCTTTCTTCCTCACTGCCCTAGTACTTGACTTTTATCCTCTGCATATTGTATCTTGCTTTTTGTTCGCTGTGAGTCAACTTCTCCCAGTGTGTTTCAAGTTCCTTGAAGATACAGGTGGCATCCCGTTCTCTTTGCATCCTCTGGGTCTGGCATGGCGTATGGCACACAGGAGGTGCCCAGGGTGCTGGTCAGACTTGCTTTACGCTATCTTTCCTTCATGTTGGACTTTCAGAGGGACAGAGAGGCCCAGGAACCCAGATCTGGACCCAGTTTTGGTTAATGCTTGCATTGGTCACCTGGGCCAGACTCTGGGATCCAGGGTTCACAATGTGTGTTGATTCCTTCTAACTGGAATTGTGTGTCCTTTGGCTAATATGTCTCCACCCCCTTCCAAGTCTTTTAAATTGAAAACATGCTGAGCATGATCAAGAAAACCAGGTAATTTATTACATCTTGATGGATGGATGTATTGTCTCTAATATATCCATATCACCTAAAAACTGGAAGTTAGGAAAAAAGGGTCAAATGATTTCAAGTTCAAGTACTTCACATGTGTGTAATGCTGCTTACTCCTATAGCATTATATTGGAAGGCACATGGCGTATGGTTGTAAACTTCCTGTTATGGTAAAGATAATCTGTGGGTTCACAATTAATTGGTGGTGTTATCTTGATTCACCTGCTATAAATTTTTCCACATCTTTTGTCTAAAGTTTTTTTGTATTCATTGATGATCATTGATTATAGCTGTTGCAAAAGGCTAATATTCGAATTCCACCTTTTGTTCTCTGTTCATTAGCTTGAATTATTCTTAACAAATTGCTTCCCTCAAAATAATTATCCTAAAATAAAGTATCTACAGAAAAGGCAGGGAAAATACTTGGTTCTTACTCTATATCAATTTTCATAAAGTAAGTGACCTAATCTATTGAAATTTGATTGCAAAAGACCTTTTTTAAAAACAGTCTTTATGTCCATGAATAGTATATTTCTTTCTTTATGTTCCCTTTTTACCTTGAAGTGAACTTTTATTATTTTCTTCATACAAGTGTATATTTATTAGTAGGTACTTTATATTTATTTATTATAAAGATGTGGGGTAAAACTCAGGGTTAGGTTTACGAACATTGATTGCTGCAGGTGCCCTTGTTGATGAGGTGCACCCCTCTCTCCCCTAGCAGTTTCCCTCAACTGCCAATCCCACCCCCCTCCCCTGACACTTTCCCACTCCTGCCAATTCCTTTCTTATAGTATTATAATTATTCAAGGTCTGCTTATGAGCGAGAACATATAGTACTTTGTTCTTTGCTTCTGTGATATATCACTGAGCATGATCGACCCCAGATCCATCCAAGTTGCTGAGCAGTCCATATGTTTGCCCTTCTTTTTGGCTGCATAATATTCCATTGTGTATATGTTCCACATTTAAAAAAATTGAGCATAGCTTCATTTAGATATCATTCAGAATGTGGGTTCTACAGTCATTGGATGAATAATGCACAATTCACTTATATAAATTACACATTCATTGTTTTCTTAAAACTACAATCAGAGGTTGTGCAATCACTACCACAATCTGATTTTAGAACATTAATTTTCCCCCTAAGAGAAAGTCAGAACCCATTATCAGTCACTCTCCATTTCTCTTACCCTTGCTTCTCTGGGCAACCACTCATCTACTTTGTCTCCATAGATTTTTTTTGCCTATTCTGGACATTTCATATCAGTGAAATCACAGAATATATGACCTTTTTACTGCCTTCTTTCACTGAGTGCAATGTTTTCAAAGTTCATCCATGTTCACCCTGTATTAGTACTTTATTCCTTTTTATATCCATTGTGTTTTCCATTCATTTTGGTATCTGTTCATCTGTTCATGGACATTTGGGTTGTTTCCACCTTTTGACCACTCCTTTTATTAAATAATGCCAATGTGGTTTGAGAACAGGCATCGCATAATTTCTATTCTTTTAAATTTGTTGAGATGTGTTTTATGACCCAGAATGTGGCATATCTTGGTGAATGTTCCATGTGAGCTTGAGAAGAATGTGATCCTGCTGTTGCTGGATGAAGTAGTCTGTAGATGTTAGTTATATCCAGTTGATTGATGGTGTTGCTGAATTCACCTATATCCTTACTGATTTTCTGCCTTCTGAATCTGTCCATTTCTTTTTTTTTTAATCAATATTTTTTATTATGATTTTGTGGGGTACAGTTAAGGGTTAGGTGTACAATTACATTTCATTCAGGCACCCTGCTGATAAGAGGTGTTTCTCCATTCCCAGACAGATAATTGCAACTGTTAATCCCATCCCCCTCCCCCCCATAGTTTCCCAGTACCATCAGTCATTTTCTTATAGTATTACATTGCATGTTCAACGTCCATTATATGAGTGAAAACATGTGATACTTGGATCTTTGTTTCTGTGAGAGGTCACTCAGTATTATAGACTCAAGTTCCATCCAGGTTGCTGCGAAATTCATGATTTGTTCTTTTTTATGGCTGCATAGTATTCCATCGTGTATATGTACCACATTTTTTTAATCCAGTCCTCTTTTGATGGGCAGCATGGTTATTTCCAGGTTCTTGCTATTGTGAACAATGCTGTGATAAACATATGTGTGCAGGTATCTTTTTTATAGAGTGATTAGAGGTCTTCAGGGTATATTCCCAGTAGGGGGACTGCAGGGTCATATGGAAGGTCGAATTTTAGAGCTTTTAGGAATCGCCACACTGCTTTCCACAGAGGTTGCACTAGTTTACACTCCCACCAACAGTGTAGAAGTGTTCCCTTTTCACCACACCCTCTCCAGCAGCTGTTATTTTTTGAGTTGTTGATAATTGCCATTCTGACTGGAGTTAGGTGGTATCTCAGTGTGGTTTTGATTTGCATCTCCCTGATGATTAGTGAGGTTGAGCATTTCTTCATGTGTTTGTTGTCTGCTCGGATGTCTTCTTTTGTGAAGTGTCTGTTCATATCTTTTGCCAATTTTATAATGGGGTTGTTTGATTTTTTCTTTTCAGCACGTTTAAGTTCCTTGTAGATCCAGGATGTTAAGCCTTTGTCAGACCTGGAGCTGGCAAATCCTTTTTCCTAGTCTGTAGGCTGTCTCCCTGCTCTCTTGATGGTTTCTTTGGCTTTGCAGAAGCTTGTCAGTTTAATAAGGTCCCACTTGTCTATCTTCTCTCTTATGACCTGTGGGTTTCAGGTTTTGTTCAGGAATTGGATGCCAGTTCCGATTTCCATGAGGGTATTTCCTTCCTTTTCTAAGGTTCTTATCATTTGAGGTTTTACATTTAGGTCTCTGATCCATTTGGAGTTAACCTTTGTGCATGGGGATAGATAGGGGTCCTGTTTCAATCTTATGCATGTGGTCAGCCAATTTTCCCAGCACCATTTACTGAATAGGTTCTCCTCTCCCCAGTGGTAGGTGGTGGGGGCTTTGTTGAAGATGAGTTGGTTGAGAAATTGAGGTTTTACTTCTGGAATCTCAATTCTATTCCATTGCTCTATATGCCTGTTCCTGTACCAATACCAAGCTGTTTTGATGATTGTAGCTTTATAGTAAAGTTTGAAGTCTGGTAATGCGATACCACCTGCTTTGTTTTTTTGGCTGAGGATTGTTGTGGCTATTCTTGGACGTTTGTGTTTCCATATGAATTCCTGTGTTGTTTTTTCCAGGTCTGAGAAGAATGTTGCTGGTAATTTGATGGGTATTGCATTGAATTTGTAGATTGCCTTAGGTAAGATGGACATCGTCACAATGTTAATTCTTCCAATCCATGAGCATGGGATATTTTTCCACTTGTTTGTGTCATCTTTGATTTCTTTGAGCAGTGTTTTGTAATTTTCATTGTAAAGGTCTTTCACGTCTCTGGTTAGGAAGATGC